GATACGCAAATTTTTAACCATCCTCACTCCTGATTTGCTCCAGTTAGCATGATGACACATAGCAGAAAGGACCTTCCTAAGGAGGTAAATCCCCTTAAGCATTCAGTTTCCCCCTGTCACCTGACCATGTACTGTGGTTTCACGTTGAAGTTGCTGGGCAGTCTGGGATATCAGTGCTTCCACCAGCCTGTCTTTGTCTTTCAGGGGACTTCCTGTCCGGAAGGCTTCACCGGGAGGTTCTCCGTGGACTCTGGGAGTCAGTGGACTGTCTGTGGACTATTGGGGACGTGGCCCGACGTCAGCCACATGTACGCGCCCCCCCACCCCCCGCAGCACCCCCCCGCGGCCCCGTCCTCCCCCTGCCGCGGGGACGCCTACCAGGGCCAGGGGGGGGCGGCCGGGGGGTACCTGTCCTTCCCCCCCGCGCAGCTCTCCCTGCTGCCGGAGTACGGAGGCTTCTACCCGCCGGGCTGCGGGGGGGAGGTCCAGCCCCCCCCCCTCCCGGAGCGGAAGCCCCCCCCGTACCCCCCCAACCCCCCCCGCGCGGCCTCCGCCGCCCACGCCGCCCAGCGCCATCCGGGGCTTTGCGCCGGCCCCCGCCCCCCCCGCCCCCCCCCTGCTCCGGCCCATCCCGCGGCCCCGGAAGTACCCCGGCCGGCCGGGCCGGACCCCGGTCCACCAGAGGCCGTTCCCCTGCCCCGCGGCCGGCTGCGACCGGCGCTTCTCGCGCTCGGACGAGCTGAGCCGGCACCTGCGCGTGCACACGGGCCACAAGCCCTTCCAGTGCCGCGTGTGCGCGCGCAGCTTCAGCCGCAGCGACCACCTGGCCACGCACCTGCGCACGCACACCGGGGAGAAGCCCTTCGGCTGCCAGCAGTGCGCCCGCAGGTTCGCCCGCAGCGACGAGCGGAGGAGGCACCTGAAGGTGCACCTGAAGGAGAGGAGGACCCCCCAGCCCTGAGGGCCTCCTCCTGGGACTCCTGGGACTCCTCCTCCTCCTGGGACTCCTCTGGGTCCCTGCCTCCCTTCCTCCTCCCCGTTTCCTGTCTTCCTCCTTTCTTCTCTCCTCCTCCTCCCCTGTCTTATTATCCTCCTCTCCCCTCCTCTTCCTCCTGGTCCTCCTCCTCCCTGCTTCTCTTCCTCCCCATTTCCTGTCTTCCTCCTTTCTTCTCTCATCCTCCTGATTAGCCTATTTATTTCATTAGAAGCGCCAACTGAAATTCCGAGACTTCTCATCAAAACTTCACCCCGAACTCCTGCCCACCATTCGAAAACTATAAGAGATATCTGAAAAATTCTCAAACCGTGAGTGCAACGAAGGACGTAGGGCCTAGCCAGTGTATTTACTTTTTGGCTGCCTTCCCCAGTTTATTTGTATGACAGTTTCAATATTAGGTCCATTTTGGCAGTTGATGATATTTTCTAACTTTTCCTCCATTGTATCTCAATGGGAGCCCGTTGAGACAGTCTGGACTCTGGGTCCGATTGCGGGAAAACTGTAGGGCTGAGGTCAAAGGCGTTTACATTATCTCAAAGAGGACACCCGCGGCTACGTTTTGAGGCCTCTTTGGACCCACTCGGCCCTACGGTTTGGTCATGAGAGGCGGGAGTCAGATTTTTTTTTGTAAATATCTCCACATGAAAGTTGCAACCTGTGATGATGGGTGTCCTCCTGGTACTGGTCCTACTCCTGGGACTCCTCTGGGTCCCTGCCTCCTCCCCCTTTCTTCTCTCCTCCTCCTCCCCCGTCCTCTCATCCTCCCTTCTCTTCCTCCACCTCCTCGTCCAGCTCCTGTCCTCCCCCTATCCTATCTCCTCCTCCTGGTCTTCCCCCTTCTCCTCCTCCTTCTCCTCCACCTCCTCCCCTCTCCTGACCTCCTCCAGCTCATCCCAGAAGCCATAGTTTGAGTTCAGGGGAAACTAATCTCCAGATGTTCCAGATGTTTGATTAGTGGGAAACATGTTGTATTAGTGTCTCAGTGCTGGACTCAGGGATTCAGGCTTCAGCAGACCTCCCCCCAAACGGCCCCCAAATGCCCAATAATGCCCCCCAAAAGGCCCATCAGGTGGACCTGCAGCCCGGTAACCTCCCGTCTGACTCCTTCTGGACCTTCTGGACCTTCTGGACCTCCTGGATATCCTGGACCTCCTGGACCTTCTGGACCTTCTGGATCTCCTGGACCTCCTGGACCTTCTGGACCTCCTGGACCTCCTGGATATCCTGGATCTCCTGGACGGTTTCTAGACCGCATTTCTGTTACTTTGATGCTTAACGATCAGAGTCCTGTTGACGTGTTTTAGTGTTTTTATGCAACCAAGAAGTAACTGATGTCGCTCAATAAAAATTGGTTTTAGCAGTTT